TCATGACGACCCGCACGTTTTGAAAAACAGCGGGATCTGCAAACTGAGTTTGCAACTTCAGGAAACGAGCAACGCTAATCGCATTATTAATTACCGCTATAAGATGTCATCAATCCCAGGTTCAGTTGCTTAAACGCAGTGTGAAACCAAGCAAGTAATAAGTTAATTTTCTGTTATGCATTAAAATAAAAGTGTACAAATATGTCAGGATGATATTTACGATGCTGACTGTTGACAAGTCACCTATGGTCAGGCTATACCACAGCGTATAATGTGAAATAAGGATGCGTGTAATAATACTCGAGCTTGAGTTGTAAAACAAAACGTTCTTGATATCTTAGAGATCGAATAGCGTGAATGATATTCAACCTAGATTTTGTTTACGTTCAAAGTATGGCGTGATAATTCCATATCGAAACGTCGAAACCTATTTGCCGTCTTTATAGATCTTGGCAGTATAAAAAGTGCGGCGGCTTCAATGGCTCATACACTTATACCGCTTTTCCCAAGGTCCTAGTGCGCAAATGAATCTGGAACAAACGTTTTTACCGTTTTCACCAAGATATATATCTACATATTATTCCAAAAACAATAGCTGCATTGACACCATTGTCTTAGCTATTTTACGGAATGTACGCCCGCGCCGGGTATTAAATAATATAAGACTCCTTTTAAGCTTCCACTGGTTAAGAAAAGATGGGGCATCTTCATAACCTGTCAGCAAAAGATGGGACATCTTTCTGACACAAGAGTTTTCACTAAAAGTATTCTATAGATATTATTCAAAAAGCTATAGCACTAGCTGCACCGCCTTACCCTAACTTAGCGTGATGTAAAGAATAATATAAGACTCCTTTTAAGCTTCCACTGGTTAAGAAAAGATGGGACATCTTCATAACCTGTCAGCAAAAGATGGGACATCTTTCTGACACAAGAGTTTTCACTAAAAGTATTCTAGATATTATTCCAAAACCTATAGCACAAGCTGCATCGCCTTACTCTAACTTAGTGTGATGTAAAGAATAATATAAGACTCCTTTTAAGCTTCCACTGGTTAAGAAAAGATGGGACATCTTCATAACCTGTCAGCAAAAGATGCGACATCTTTCTGACACAAGAGTTTTCACTAAAACTGTAAAAGTATTCTAGATATTATTCCAAAAACTATAGCACTAGCTGCACCGCCTTATACCCTAACTTAGCGTGATGTAATGAATAATATAAGACTCCTTTTAAGCTTCCACTGGTTAAGAAAAGATGGGGCATCTTCATAACCTGTCAGCAAAAGATGGGACATCTTTCTGACACAAGAGTTTTCACTAAAAGTATTCTAGATATTATTCCAAAACCTATAGCGCAAGCTGCATCGCCTTACTCTAACTTAGCCTGATGTAAAGAATAATATAAGACTCCCTTTAAGCTTCCACTGGTTAAGAAAAGATGGGACATCTTCATAACCTGTCAGCAAAAGATGGGACATCTTTCTGACACAAGAGTTTTCACTAAAAGTATTCTAGATATTATTCCAAAACCTATAGCGCAAGCTGCATCGCCTTACTCTAACTTAGCCTGATGTAAAGAATAATATAAGACTCCTTTTAAGCTTCCACTGGTTAAGAAAAGATGGGACATATTCATAACCTGTCAGCAAAAGATGCGACATCTTTCTGACACAAGAGTTTTCACTAAAAGTATTCTGGATATTATTCCAAAACCTAACGCTATCGCTGCATGAACCGCTTTACTCTAACTTAGCGTGGTGTAAAGAATAATATTATAGACTCCTTTTAAGCTTCCGCTGGTTAAGAAAAGATGGGACATCTTCATAACCTGTCAGCAAAAGATTGGATATCTTTCTGACACAAGAGTTTTCACTAAAAGTATTCTAGATATTATTCCAAAACCTATAGCGCAAGCTGCATCGCCTTACTCTAACTTAGCCTGATGTAAAGAATAATATAAGACTCCTTTTAAGCTTCCACTGGTTAAGAAAAGATGGGACATCTTCAGAACCTGTCAGCAAAAGATGGGACATCTTTCTGACACAAGAGTTTTCACTAAAAGTATTCTAGATATTATTCCAAAACCTATAGCGCAAGCTGCATCGCCTTACTCTAACTTAGCCTGATATAAAGAATAATATAAGACTCCTTTTAAGCTTCCACTGGTTAAGAAAAGATGGGACATCTTCATAACCTGTCAGCAAAAGATGGGACATCTTTCTGACACAAGAATTTTCACTAAAAGTATCTAGATATTATTCCAAAACCTAGCGCTGTCGATGTGGCATACTCCAAATTTGATATTTCAACTATACTCTATAGGTACTATAGCCACAAAAAAAATTGGATATTGTCAAATCTGAAAGCCAGGGGTACAGCTCATCTACGCGTTTACTCATCACTAGCTCGCCCGGGAAATAATCTGGCGATGCCCAGCGTAATGTCTAATCAGAATGATATCAAATTTAGTTCAATGGGCCATTTTAGACTAATTTTCGATTCTTTTGAAAATGCTTACGCAAGTCAGTTTAATTTAAACGCTTGCATGTATCTCAGTCAATATTTCGTCATATCTCATGTATAACCTATCAAAATTTAAGTTAGCCTTTTATGAATACAACTACATTTATTTGAGCGACGTATAGCTCTTATAGTTTTTTCGCTATGATAGTTCAAACGCCTGAACTTTTTTTGCGCCACCCGGGATATATATGTAAATAAATATTATTTGTCTTGTGCTACCTTGTATCAAAATATAGAAATGAGTATATTAAATAACGAATATTGTACAATCAACTCGCGGTTGTGATAGCCCTGCTTGAAAGCCGTGGTATCTAGCATACTGTATACTAAAGAAATAACAATAACTGATTGCGTGCTGCAATGCCTATAAGCTATAGCCTTTTGACTATTACCTAACCTTACTGATTGAAAATACTTCGCATTAATCTTTAATCTTTATTCTTTAATAAGCAGCCATCAAAATATTGCCAGTTTGTTCGATCTTGATCTCCATTCTGAATCCATATTACACACGATTGTCAAGCAGAATGCACTCTTCTTCAGACCAGATTTTGGCGCAATTTGAACTTTGCGCGGCATTGTCTGCTAACATTATTATGAATTGGTGATGACAACCTGGTTTGTATGTTAGCTCAGTTAGTTATTTGCAACATCATATCTATGGGGTTAAATTTCATGTACGCATAAATTATTTCACTATAAATTCATTATACATGTCACCACTCTTACCACCTCGACTAATAATGCTGTGGTAACTAACACCTTCAAGATAATTCAATTTATAGGCGTGCGGGTCGTCATGCTTTAATAATCATTAACGTATTCGCGCCTTCCAAACAACGACAGTATTCACAAGTGGCATTGACACACTCAGCATTATATATTTCACATGGTTGAGATTCTGTGCATGAATCTGTACATTTCAAATTCGTAAATATATCGCGTTCACTTCGAAATATTTTGAAGCCACTCTCTGTGCCAGTACTTCCGCATAGCCATACGCAAAGAACCGCAGAGAATAAAACGTAGTATGTGAGTCTATTTCTTTTGGTAAACCCCATTTACTTTGCCTTTCAAGTTTCAACGAAATTAACTAAACTCTCCTAAATTGAAACGATAGCCTAGTTTTGGTTTGAGATTGAAAAAATGTCAGTTTAAAAGCTCTCGTAGTCGGGAGTTTTTATATACATATATGCAAATAAGTATATGGTAATTTAATTAAATTACACAGTTGCGGGAAAGCATCCGGTTGTATTGAAAATGAAATTGCATAGTGCACTTAAACTCGTGAGCCGATGTCTCAAAGACATCTTGCACTCTTCGACTTGTTGCTGCCGTGCCGTTATAAAAGACGCCCATTCATAATACATATAGAGTCAGGGTGTTTAGTGTTATGTTGGATAATACTGCATGTAACGGATAATTCATTTACATAAATATGGCTATTGCAATAAGAAGTTACCTAATCTTTCACTTTCGCAAAAACATAATAAAAATGCATGTTTCGTTTGGACGTGGTTATTTGTCATTGTTAAGTCGCTTTTTGATGGATGTATACAGTTATCATATACTTGATAACAATATTCCTATATATTAAATGTTATACTGTAACAGTATATGGTATTATCCGGAATTGGTGCTGTTAAACTAGTAACTGTGGATCATAGTTGAATGAAATATAGTGATTGCATGATGGAGCTAAAGGGATCTCTGAAAATATTCAGAAAATTAAAATGCGTGGTAAAATTTCCACTTCTTCAACAATGATATCAACGATTATGTGACAATGTTGGTATTTTATTGTTTTAATTTTAATTAACTGAAAGTGAAATGTTTATTATCATGAGGCGGTAACTAAGCAATTTTTACGGCATCATTCATTCACATCAAAGCTCCGTTCAGCCAGCCCAAAATCAACCTTGTTGATCTAACCACAATATATTGGACGATGTTGGATACAAATTTTGAATGAAGTCAAACCTGATCCGCAAATATCTGATCCAATATCAGCCAATAATGAGCGGAAATTAATGAAGTCAATAGTTTAATTAATGTTTGTCCACGGAAAGACTTCATTGATGGATTATAAACTGAACGAGAAGCAACCTTGGTCAATAATAACCTTAGTAAGACTGACAACTGAAACTGGTAAATGCATGGGCCAGAAAGGTTAACGGATTAATGCTGGGTTAGGAAACAAGAGTTCATATAAGCAGTTTTTCGTGTTCCGTTTTGTCGTGTAATTTGAATATATTTGAATAATGACTGGACTTCGTCTTTTCCGAATCTTTAATAATTTTTTCGTCTTCAATTAGCCTCCTCCGCAGGCAACTCTGTGGCATCCCAAATGGCAAACTTTTGAAAAATCCCCATCAAAAACGAGCTTTTTACTTTCGCGAACGGCGAATTCAAAATATTTTTGGCCGAGTAGTAATAAAATTAAGGGGATAGGGAGTTAATTCGCCTTTTCCTCGGCCCAATCCTCTTAATTTTATTACTACTTCCAATCCCCTTAATTTTATTAGTACTCGGCCAAACAACAATATTATTTTATTTATTGAACGTTCTCTGACTAAATATTTATTTCTACGAGCTTTCGGCTATCAGTCTATAGCCTTCGACGGGTGAATACAAATGATTCTATAAAGGACGCTAAACTTAAGTAGATGGTATGAAATATGAGACTATCTATGCTATGTTACAAATGAGGAATATAAATATTTAATTAATGTTTCTTGAGTAGTTCCTTTCTTAAGAGTATTGTGTATTGTGCTGGAAGCGTATTAGAGTTATTATCAGCTTCGGAGTTATTATCAGCTTCGTCTGTTAGTGCAGTGTGCCAGGACTCTAAGGTTTTAAGGTTCCTATGATTTCCCTTGTCCATTACTTTAGCATTGGCAAAGTCAATAATATGATCTTGAGTCCATGCGTGTTTCGCGACATTCGACCCCTTCTTGCCTTGTTTCATATTCCTCACGTGTTCGGACATTAGACGTGTGCAACTGATTAGACATTAGACGTGTTCAACATTAATATTATGAATTCGCCGTTTGCAAAAGTAAAAAGCTCGTTTTTGATGGGAATTTTTCAAAAGTTTGCCATTTGGGATGCCACAAAGTGACCTTTATCTTATTACAAGTGACACATTTACGAAATCATATACAATACATACAGTTATATCAGTGACTAATATGAAAGAAAGGTCTCTTCATGATTATATAATTTGTTAGTAACAGGAATTTAGGGCTCTGAAACAATTGTCTCAATTACGGAAGGAGACTCTATAGACTTGGCCATGGCTAAGTACTTTCCAGAAGGGTATATTTCTCCTCTGCTCAATTAAAACAAAATGTAAGACTATAGTCAAAATCTATATAATCACAACCGTGTGACGTAAAACCCCAAGTAACAGCAGTTTTTAAACTTTCTTCCATTTTGAATTTTCGTTCTGCATTATACCGAATTAATAGAGTCATACAATCTTCACAGGCAGCCTAGTGCCAGTCGTTCTGAAGCAAGCGCGAGAAAAAACGTGGATGTAGTACGAGACTGGGACCTAGGTGTGACGTCACCGCTAAAGGTGCTTCAGAACGCCTAGCAGATTTCAGTATTTTTAATATGGCGGAAAATTTATATATACAAATAACCTTGTAAATACGACAATGTTCGCTGATCATGTTCGATGCCTGCATAACCAAATTCAAACTGTATTAAAAATGTGGTCAATTAAAACAAAATAATATACAAATTTACGATACTGAGTCTGAGCAATGGTCGTATAATCGTTGATAATATTTATATACTCGCAAGTTGTGATCAACACTATAGATCATACTGGTATACACAACTACGCGGCTCTACTTGACAGGTTTAAGTATAGCTGAGGAGATTGGAAATATTTGCCTGACATGACTGTGTTGTCAAAACATTTTTAGTCGGAGACTCGGCATAATTTTCAAGCTTCTAGATAGCATTTAATATGGCTTTATATTTTAGTAAACACGAGTCATACTTAGCCCGTTATTCCATTCTGACCGTATGGTAGCAAAACGTAGCCTATTTCATTGTTCCGACAGCATTAGAGCAAAACTAATGATTTAATTATAAACCCAAAGAAAATTTCCATAACATTTTCTATTTACAAATGCGATATGCTTGGTAATCAGGCCAGGGACCACTTTTTTGAAATCAGGGACCATTTTACCGAAATCTGCTAGGCTCTCTCGCTCAAGCGTTCCGCACAGCACACCCAGGCATAAAACTTTTAAGACTTATTTAAATATATCAAAGCAGCGAATAGAGAGAGAGAGCCTGGGACTAGGCTGCTTCACAGGTATATCCGAACATATATTCAACTATAATGAATACTTAATTAATATAATACAGAAATTAAAATGTTAAATCATACATCTACTCTATATATAAACTGTTCATTCATAAGCAGAGAAATAGGTTGATACAGCATTTTCATAATAAAATGAAAAGTTTTAAGTGTGTTTAATAAAACTGGCGAGTTACCCGCCAAGGGTACTCAGCAACGGCGTGATCCCGGCTGTTATAGGAACTTAAAGTATTCCCGGTCACGTGATGCCTAAAATCTAGCAGATTTCTAGTTATATATCTTGGATTCCTTTACGACTGAATCATACAGAATGCAAATTATAAATTAAACGATAAAAGTCTTCCAAATATCAAATATTTATTGATCTCATCTTGGATTGCTAACTAAACAAATCTGCTAGATTTTAGCAGATCACGTGACCAGCGTCTACCAGGGTCTTCTCCCCTCGCCAAATGAAAGACCCAGCTGGGTGCGAGGTTGGCGGAGCCGAGTATCTTTATGTCTGATAAAACAGGCACTGCGAATGTTTTAAATTGCATAAAACACGATGGATCTAGTAAGTTCATTGGCGAAGTAATTTTCAAAAAGTACGTTGTGTGAGTTGAGAAAATCAAAGTTAAAGTTTATGTAAATCAAGGGAAATCTCTATCACATCTAAAGATTCGACAAGCTTATGATTTTTCTCATGTGTTTTCCTCATGAATTATTAATAAGTTTTTGTAGTATAGTATTAACAATATACATAAAAAGATATATATTCCTATATGAACAGATGACTTAAACTAAGTTCTAAGAGTTTACTTCAATTTACCTTTGAAATCATGGTTTAATAATTAATTATTCGTGCTCTTTTGTTTGGTGTGGCAAACTTAATCTCTATTGCCATTTCCGTAACAGCAAGACCTTAATATTTTATCGTCTAATCCTCTCCTTTGGTTATTTAATTAAAAAGACATATTAAACAAAATATAGTTGTTGGACAAGGAACTGGTCCCCAATCGCTGCTAATCTTGTTGTTGTTGTTGTTGTTGTTGTTGTTGTTGTTAGAGGGCGACGCTCTTTGAAAAAACCCTAAAACTCCGTCATTACTTGTCCGATCAGAATGAAACTTGACATAATTATTCTAAGCAATATTCCGCATCGATTGACGGTGTTCGATTTTTCATTTTTGACTTTCGAAGCAAGATACAAGCAATTCTTGACTCATGTATTCGTATATAGCAAATAATATATATACATATCATTAATATTCAGCATAATATACAGTATATCAGCTAACGCAAACGATCAGAAAGGCATTGTCTTCTCTATTGTTGTGAACACAATGACAATAGTCTAAAGCTTCTAATTAAAGAATGTGAACGACTAATTTTAACCAGTTGTTATAAGTTGACTAATTAAATTTAACACGCTGGTTTAGTTTCTCAAAGCGCAGAGGAGTATATAATACTCCTACCTGGCTATCATATAATATTCATGGTCATAGAAAATCGTGAACCGTAAAAACAAAGACATGTCAATTTGTTTTTAGCACAAGCATCCACTTATGAAACCACATGACTAAGCGAGATGAAACTGCATTAGCCTAGCAACAATTCTGATAATTTGCCCGTTTACACGGCACCTACACTATACTGCATGTAGCTGCAGTATTTTGCAATGGCACGCACGGGAGCGCAAAATTTGATGTACGGCAAAAGTTAAATTTAGGCACGGCATGTTTATTCTAAATATTCGGTGGGACATTTAACTTATCTATCGAATTCGAATGTGAGGAAATACTTTTGAAAACTGCGCATTTAGTTATCTATATGCATGCTTTGTGCATGATTTACACCTCATATATATATACACAGCACCAGACACATTTTTGCCCGGATAAAGTATCTTGCATGACCAAATTAAAGCAAAACAATTAGCGAACTCAGTCTACCCTGCCAACTTCGAGAATCATTAGTTTCATAAGTGTCTATAGTTATTTGTTTATCAAGTCAAAATCTCGAAGTTATAGTACGATCGTACTTGTTTTATATCAAACCGCATTTACTCATTAATTAAGTATTGTAGTATAGATGGAATGTCTAGTACATGTTTGAAAGACTAACATTTTTTGTGATAAATATTGAATATAACATGCAGTCAGTTTATGCGGTAGTAGATGAGTTTCGGGAATCTGTACTGTTGGAATCTTCAATAACAGTATATGTGTGATCACTGGAATGTGGTATTTCATCTGTTACCTATATGTAAATTAATTTGGTTTAATTAGTAACTTCGGCAGCATAAAATTACAACAAATGGTGTGGCGGGGTCGCTGCCACAGCTTATTGACCTACCAAATATGTTCCTTCTCAGTACAAAGCCAAAGGCAAACGGGGAGAAAGTTTACACTTCATAAATATTTTCAGTTACCTGGGGGTTTTCTACATCTTCTGTTTCTTCCAACGTTGAATAAACAGGTGGTTGAGGTAGATTTGATTCTTCCAGTGTATGATACAGTGCAGTGTTGAGAGCAGGAGAAGAATGTTCGTTACTCGTTTGTGCGATACTCGGAGGAATCGAAGGTAGGTCAGTATTCTTTGCATAGCTGTACTCTTGTTCTGTTGATACTGGTCCATCCTGTTCTAGAGTATGGTACAGACCACCACTGGTAGCTGGCTCAATATCTCTCTCGCGCACTGCCTTTGTATTTGCAGTATCTCTAGGCAGATCTGTATCTTTGGCATAGATATACTCCAGCTCTGATGATCCATAGTTAGCTATGTTGGTGTTGTCAGGGTAGTTATAGAAATCATCATCAGTCGGTTGTCCAGGCTGTTCTAATGTTTCATACACAGCGCCATTACGTGTAGGTTCCTTGGCCGCTGGTTTCGCACCTACACTAGATCTCGGCAAATCTGTATCGTTAGCATAAATGTACTCTTGTCCTGTCGATGCTGGAACACTGACGATATTACAGTCCGGGTTTGTATAGATGTCCAAGGATGTTCCAGGTTGGTATGGTGGTACTTCCTTTCCTTCCTCCTTTAGCGTTTCGTATATTCGATCTGGGTCTTCGTAAATCTCCTTGGAAAAGTTGACAGTCCCAATTTCTGAGAATATGGAGAGATAAAACGTATATAGTTACTCCACAACAGTTGACTTTCACTATATTTAACCATGATCTTTCGATTCAGTGAAAGGGTTGTTTGGTTTGTAGCCATATTATATATATTCCATGCAACCTTAACTGGATTTAGTATAAACCTACTAGTAGGCTATCACATTTCGTACCTTCTGATTGGCTACGCTACTAGTAGGCTATTAGTGATAGCCTACTAATAGAAAATTCAAAATGGCGGAAAATTCGCGTTTTGCACTTTTGCCGAAGTGTCTGATGATTTTTTGGACGACTTGTTGAACAATTCTGTACTAAAAACCCCCGAAAAAAGCAACAAAAATATGGAATGGCAATTTTTAAGGATAAGAAAATAGACAAAATAACATACACTCAATGAAATTTTAAAATTAAAACTGAATTTTTTAAAACATTTTACACGAACAAAAACAAATATTTGTTTACCTTTAATGGTTTTATAATGTTTTTGTTGTGTATTTTTGTATTGTGTTTGCAGCCTAGTTGTAATTAAATTAATGTTAAAGTTTATACTAAAACAATTAGACAACTCGGCCTCGTTGTCTATGAGCAAATAGTCAACTCGGCTTCGCCTCGTTGACTATTCGCTCATAGACAACTCGGCCTCGTTGTCTAATTGTTAAATAATTGCATGCATGCACTCGACGCTAACATTTCTAGTCTTTATTCTTATAGTTATGGTGCAAAGATTAATAAAAAGGTGTATCTTACCATTACTGTTGTTCTACTGCGTTTGCGTTCTAAAGTAGAATAAATCTTTCTTTCATTTAAAGAATACGTACAGATCACATTTATCCTAGTCTTACCGCAAATAATGACTTTAATTAAGGTGGCTCGCTGCAGTTTAAAGAAATGTTGAAAATGCGTAAACTAGATCACCTTTTTGAAGAGATGATGCTCTTTACAAATCGATATTTGTATATTATATATACAGCGACAATCAAACAGTCGAAAATTGCTCAGAAAAGTGACGTCACCACTGTTGCTATGGCAACAATGACGATTCAAGATGGCCGATATTTTGGCTTTGAACGCATTTTACTTTAAAAAAAGGTCGGTTACCCCCATTTTTTATTTCAGAAAACATTTTCTTATAGTATAATACACTATCTGACCAATTTTAAAAAATTCTGTAATGCCAAATTTTTTAAAAATTTATAAACATAAACATTTCAACATTTCTATAAACTGTAGCGAGCCACCTTAATTACTGTTTTTTTGGTGTGGCAACCAACAAGGCATTTTAAAAGAGGCTTCAAAGGATGAACTTTACCTTTTTCGTTTTCTATAGTAGACCAGGTATCCCAATGCCAGTGCCAAGGCTACCAGAAGAAGAGTAACTATTACAGCAATAGTAGCGGAGTTTCTCCCACCAGACTCTGATGCTGCTTCTCTTGTACCTTCGATTGTTTTTTTTGTAGTGGAAGTTATTAATGTGGGTGAACATTTGGAGGATGTTTCTTCTTTTTTGCCTTTTTGAGTTTGAGATTGTGTGGTGAAGCTCATGTCTTTGTCTTTCTCTGTTGTGATTTCGGGGGTGAATGTAGTTGTTGTACTTACCTTTTTTGTATTTGTTATTCTGGAAGAAGGCGGAGGGGTGGCGCTGATTATCTAGATAAGAAAGATTATCGAATCACTACACAACTCAAGGCACCAGTTAAAGACGTACATCCATTTGTAGGAAATTGAAAAGGTCTCTATCGCCATTGACCAAAGTGAAAGGCATTTTTGTTAATATGTTAAAGTAAAAAATGGTATTCTATAAGGGATTTGTGATAGCTTATTTCTAGTAGTGACAACTTAAAATCAAATTCATTTTTCATGAATCTAGAACAATTTCTAATTTTGCAGTTTAAACTTAACTTTATGGAGTCGTCTTGATCAGCATTTTAACTCTAAATTACATGCACTGCCTATTAAATATTAACTAATTCGATAATTGAAACAAATAATCCAATTTATCATTCAATGTTATACATACATCAGAATATGTAGGTAAAGATTGCAGTTTTAACAGGACACACTGTGTTTCACTTCCACAAGAAACAGAAAGCCTTAACAGTGAACCATTCCATGCTTTGAATTGTTCCATCGTAGAAAACTAAAATAATTTATAAAAACAAAAAAAATCAGGGGAGCAATCAAAATAACATTTCGTTTAATTCGAATTTAATCAAGTCCTTATAGTCACAGATGACAGGTATAATTTTAAATATATTTTCAATGAAAATTATTATATTTTTATGCATATTATTTATATACACTGTAACTACGGATATTCAGGAATATCTGTAAACCTCGCACATGCATCAATGTACATAAGGCTCAGACAAATTCATGGTTTTATAACAAAGAAAGAACGTACAGCTTCCTTGCGGCTGACTACAGTTGTCGTGAATGTTTTACATGTACAATATAAGCGATTACATAGCTATACATTTCGACCACTAACCTATAAGATGACGTTCTCATCTGACCTAACATTTTCATCCATAATAATATATATTGAATTTATCAAGTGTATAAATAAAGTTGAAATACAATAATACATAAATAATCAATAAATAACATCTGTCTTGGTAAAAATAGAATCGAAAGTCTTGTAATCTGTACTAAACGTCTCCCAAAAAAACGTCGAAACCTGCATGAAGACGTGAAGAAGCTATGTTCTATATTTAATCTTGAACTGCCTGTGCCAGTGTATGTAGTGCCAATAATAAAACAAGCTTTTGTTGGTAACGATTTTCATGGTATATTCTATGTAGTCGCTCATAATGAATGTGCATTTAGCCGAAATACTACTCCGCGTTTGCCGATGACTTTAAACCACATTTATTTGCGCTTTTTTCATGACTTCTGCGCATGGCAACTAACTCGTAATGTGGGCTAAATGGGCGTAATAAGGGGCAATTCAGGGCAATAAAATAATTGTTTTGCAGTTACACTAATTTATATGCATTATACTCGGCACATGCATGCATGCATGGAAATTACGACGTTTAAATCAACGTCGCACCGTGGTTGTTTTATTCGACAGAGTCGCATTTAATTAATCAAAACTGTCGAATTTATAATTGATTCAGACGTCGAACTTTTCATGCGCACTTAATTGAGGAACTGTACATTCGGTACATCGGAAAAATTTGAACCGTGGCTTACTGACTTCTTTCCCGTTTATACCTTAATTTTTATTGTATTGCCATATTGGTACTTAATAGAGAAAATGTTGCCAGTGTTCTTCTTCCATTTTTTGCCATGACGAATGAATTTTAACTCCTCGTTTACTTTGCAATTAGAGTGGTAGTTTGCTCCAAAAATTGGAGCAGAAATCTCTAATAATTTGAGATTCTTTGTGCTGTAACCAAGATATTTCATGAAAGAGCCATCGGAGAAACGGTAACACCCTATGGAGAAGAAAAACATTACAATTATGGATCATATGAGTCACGTTTTGGGTGGAGTTACCATATTTAGACTTTAGGGTTATAGGATTAGGGTAATGTGGAATAGGGAAAGCGTTAATTAAGATTAGGGTTCTAAGGATTATAGATAAAGGTTAGATAGATAGATAGATAGATAGATACTTTATTGCGTGTTCCCCTAAGGGCTTTTCAACACTACATTACATATTAAAATTACTATAAATTACTACTAAAACTACCTATGTTACATATACTTATTTAAAATTAGTTAAAATATGTACAAAGAGTATAAAATATTAAATGTATTTAATAGGATTCTTTTAGTAAAATCTCCCTAAGTTTTTTCTTAAAAATTGTTATTGATGTAATATTTTTTAGTTTATCATCCAAGTCATTCCATATTTTAACACCCCGGTAATTAAATGTTCTTTGACCTGTAGCAGATTTATACAGAGGGATGTCCAAGAGGTCATGATTTCTTGTCGATCGATCATGTATGTCGCAACGCTTTATAAATTTATCTACTAGGTAGTCAGGTGCAAGTCCATTAAAACACTTGTAAGCCATTACAGTATCCCTTTCCAATAATAACTTTTCCACTGGCAACCAATTTAGTTCGCGCAACGCCGGAGTTATGTGATCGAACTTTCCTACCCCTGATATAACTCGCGAAGTTCTGCACTGATTGAAGTTTATTGATATTGTTAGATGACGTGTTGGACCACACCGTAGAGCAGTACAGAAGCTTGTTAATTACAAGTGTCTCAATGACCAATTTTAATGTTTCATTATCGAAACTATCCTTCACGCGATTTATTTGACATAGTTTTCTCATACACGACGAAACGAGTTTAGATATGTGGTCGTCGTAGGATAGGTACGAATCCAAATTGATACCCAAATCTTTAGCTAATAAAACAGGTCTTATAGTCTTTCCTAAAAATGTTAGCGATATTTCTGTAGGTACATTCTGCAGCATGGGTCTTGAACCGACTACAAGGAATTTAGTTTTTTCTGGATTGATCAGTAATTGGTGCTCCAAACACCACTTGGCTGCTATTTGTAGATCTGCCTCTAAATTGATAGTTGTCTGTTCCAAGTCGTAGATGCAGAATGATTTGTAAAGCTTTGAGTCGTCTACGTATGAATCAAGGTTACACGATTGTATGCTCCCTGGCAGATCATTAATATAGATGCAAAACAGAAGTGGTGATAGTATTGCACCTTGTGGAACGCCATGGGTTATTGGGCAAGCTGATGACTTGGTGGATCCAATGCGCATGTATTGGGATCTGCCTGTTAAATAGTCTTGGAACCATTTAACAGCTTCGGGTGAAGCACCGATACAACTCAATTTGTGTAATAAAATCGAATGACTGACACTGTCAGATGCCTTGGATAAATCCAATAAAATTAGTGCCGTTAGATTTTTGTTGTCTATGGCTTCCAACATCGTATCGGTAACAAATATGTTTAAGGTTTCGGTGGAGTGAAGACTCCTATTCCCGCTTTGATGTGACGATATGCGATTAAATTTTTTGAGGTAGGAGCTAAATTGATTTAGAACAACTTTTTCACAAACTTTTGAAACTACCTCGAGTAGTGAGAGAGGCCGATTGTTTGAGGCTATCTCGTGGTCTCCTTCTTGTAGTAGGGGTATAACTTCAGAAATCTTCCATAGGTCAGGGAATGTGCTTGTCATTAGAGAGCAATTTATCACATGCGTAAGAGGACCCAGTATGATGACAGTCTTTGATGACACGCATGCCTATTTTATCTGGTCCTGGTGACTTATTACTTGGCATAGCCATGATAATGCGTTGAACCTCTGTACAAGTAACGGATTGGAAATTGAACAGTTGATCAGATGGATAAGTGATTACATTTGACAGAGGATTTGACAGTGCAACATTGTTGTCTTTGGTTAAACTTTCGGCTGTCGCAGCAGCGTTCCGTCCCACAGAAGTAAAAAAAAGGTTGAAATCTTCTGCAACTGTTTTTGGATCTTTACTATAAACTTGTGTTTCCTTTTCCTTCGAGGGAATTATATTATTAATTATTTTCCATAGGGATCTCGAATTGTGCTTATGTTCTCTTACTTCGTTGAAGGTGTGGTCCTTCGCTGCGGCTTTAATTTTGGTTTTTACGTTATTACGATATTCTTTGTAAACTACCCAATCACCTTCATCACGTGTCAGTTGAAACCGACGGAGGTGTAGGTCCCGAGACTTCATGAGTTCTTTTATTTCATTGGTGACATATGGACATGATCGATTTCGAATTTTGAAGGTTTTTAACGGTGCATGCACGTCGAGAGTTGAGTGAAGAACATCTTTGAAGGTTTCGAGTATTGTATTGACGTTGGTGTTGGATAATATGGATAACAGACGATCCGATTTAGTGACAAGGTCAGAGGAAAATAGTGAGGGATTATAGTTTTTATAACTCCTAGTTGTAATGTAACATGCTGGCATCTTTGGGGCCTTTAACTTTAGTAGGACGTACACTGGTAGGTGGTCACTGATAGAAGTGTTAATAACACCACTCTCAAGAACAAGTGCTGTGGATGAGACTAGAATAACATCAATAAGCGTTTGGGACGTCGCCGTGATTCTAGTTGGAGTTTTAATAATCTGTGTGAGATTTAATTCTGTAGAAAAATTTGTTAGCGCTCTCCGTTTAAAATACAAAAGACTACAAAATTACAAAAGTCTAAGAATAGTAACTCCCCATAAAACGTGACAGGTATATATAATGGATATATAATATAGGCAACGTTTACACTATTTCGGAAAGGTGTTTTTTGACGTCGCTGTACGGAAACTATCCGGTACAAGTGTAAACATAGTCATATAGCCTAGCACCACTGATATTACATGAGATCAGTGACCTGCAGAACTTACTGTTCTCTAATCATAGTTAATAGAATAGATGGTTTGGAAACTCATTAGAATAACAATATAACTCATTATGTATGTTATGGTCAACGTTTATTCATAAATCTGGTCCTTCACCGTCACGTGTGTATTGTATTCTTGCCCAACTAACCAATAGCAATGTCTTAGGAAAGTTACCTATCCGTGACTCGAACAATAGGGTAAATTGAAAATTGCTATTGGTGGATTTGGCAAGAACACAATACACACGTGACAGTGAACGACCATGTTTATGAATAAACGTTGACTAACATAGATAATGAGTTATGTTGTTATTCTAACTGAGTTTCCAAACCATCTACTATATTAACTATGCTCTAATTTATATGTAATGCTGGGCTTTTCACAACATGGCAAGCTATAGTAATTTTTAACACCGTAAATTGGTAAATATATTAGTAGGAAAATGTGGCTTAACTTAGAGAAATTATCAAGCCTTGTCTAATAAATGCAGAAATAGCCAGGAACTTATCAAGTAAGTTGCTATTGCTATTATTTTCTATAAATATATATATATATATATATATATATATATATATATATATATATATATATATATATATATATATATATATATATATATATATATATATATCAGTTTATACCTGTGTAAGTTGTTTTGGAACCACAAATCTGTGTTTTATTACTGTTCGCGATCCATCGATGACCGCTGCTCCTCTTGGAATAAGCGTAATTATGCTGAGTTAAGTGCAATAATGATTGTCTAATCGAATCCCAGCCAATCTTTAACCCATTAGTTTCTTCTTTGCACACCATGTTCTGCAGATTATTATACATTTTCTTACATGGCGACGTGGAGACATAACCATTAAACCGTGAATTTAGTCTTTTCATACATTTAAGTGTCCTAACATTCATGAGCTGTTTATTTGTCTTGCCTGTCCAAATCCAAAACATATCAAGAGTAAACGATGAACAACTTTTCCCAGTGACATAATAACTTTGTGCCTGTAAGCATTTCATACGCACGTGATTCTTAAGCCAAAATCGTTTATTCGGCACTGCAAAAATGAAAGTGTGTTTTGATAATGTTATTATTATTATTATTATATATATTTTTAAATCCGGTATAAAATGGAATGCTTTGTCCTATAACTCTTAAACTCAAACACGAATACTGAATCACTGGCATTGAGATTTGAGATTTGAGACTGTTAATAGACAACTTGCAAAGTTTGCATATTTTCAGTATATTTGTATTACGTGCGGAAATTGTTACCATTTTTGAGCCGAAAATGGTAACAATTTCCGCTCGTAATACAAATATACTGAAAATTTGCAAACTT